CTCCCATCCTGCCCAACTCCCTAATTATCGAGGATATCACCGTCTTCCTTAATAGCAGATAAATCAAAATCTAACTGTATATCAGAAGTTTTGTTTTAGATGCCATGTATGATTTAACAAACAGGCCTTCTTGCTTACTGAAGTTTCATGGTTAATCTTGAAAAGCTGGATGTCATGTGGGCAGAGGTAGATAAAGTGTCATGCAAAGATTTAGTTGAATAGGACAAAGATCTCAGGAATATTCAAAGCTTAGTGATGCAATTTGGTAAACCTTACCGGTTTTGTAGGTTAAAGTTTTACTATGCAACATCTTGGAATTTATTTAAAAAAATGAGAGTACTAGCTGAACAAGCATAAAGTCAAACTAAGATTTTACAGGCAACTACTTTGTCAAGTTATCACATTCTACATGTAAGACTAACTTTATTGCTGCTTACCTTCCTAAGGAGTTGAAAACACTGGTTTATAAATTAAATCTTTTTTTTCCAATATCTACATTACAGCTTTTTTCCTGCCACGGTAATTTTTTGTGTGTGATTTCTGGCTTCAAATATGAACAATACTAATCACAAATTCCTTAAGGAAAAAGTGCAAATTTTAGGCTATAGAATTGGTACATCTGACTAGTACTGTTTAGTTTAAACAATATATTTTCCTTTTGTAGCACTGAAGAACATGGAAATCTTTTAACATTTTTTAGAAGCCTTTCATCTTATGCCGAGTGGTATGAACATCGTAGATGCACCTTCCTACATTTCAAGGTAATGCCTGTCGAGCCTTTGTATATCAGTACTATATTTAGTTTTTTAAGTAATTCATTAAGATAGAGCAATGGGGGTGAAATCGGCACTCTTTAGCAGAGTATGGGAATCTTAATTTTGTACATTGTGGAAAAGAGAATATTAGCTAAAGATTTTTGTGTTGTGTTCAAGGGGCAATGCCCTTGCTTGGTATTTGTCTTGATTTTTACCATACTGTTGCTGTGTTCCTCATAGGTGGGGGAAAATAAGAATATCTTTGCCTTTCTGTGGGGGAGTAAGACAGTTTTTCATTGCTATTACATTTCATTTTGAACAACAACAACAAAAAAAGGCAAAAGAAGAAATTAAAAGAAAATAACATTTGTAGTCTTTGGCATTTCAATGTTAGTTTTGAAGGACTGGGTCTGTCTCTTGAAAATGTGGCAGCATGCATTTGGGTGACAGCACTTCCAGTTCTGAAATGTTTTACTTGAATGGGAAATAAAGTGTTCCTCACTCTTAACTGGAACATAGTATTTGAACTTAGTTAAGTTACCATTATTTGGCTTGTTTGTTTTATCTTTGTACTGGTTTTAAGAAAAACAGCCACTCCTTGGAGTAAAAATACTGCACTCTTACGGACACAGAACATCTTATATGATGATTAAAGTTAGAGGGGGATGTTCAGCTGCTTCATTTTGTGTGGTTTTTTTAGTTCAGTTTTATTTAGCTCAAGCATTTACTGTCATTAAACTCAGCACCATCTTTGCTTTTCAGCTGTAGTATGAAGTGGGAGCTGCTTTGTTTCCTCTTTTTTGAATCTTTTAGGCCTTTCTGAGTACTGTGCTAGATTAATCAATTTCTATTATTAATGAATGAATCAGATTAAAGAAAAAAAAGTACTAATTTCTGATAACATTAAAAAAAAAAAATCCTGTCCTCAGCTGAGTAATAAACTGATGTTGTCTAATTCTGCTTCTTGTTGTATAAGGACTTTTCTTTAATCCCTGAGAAGGTGGAGCACCAAGGGCTTTATGGCTTTGTGGTGTGGGGTTTTTTGATTGTTTTTTCCAACTTCACTTGATGCTTTCTGATCCTTCAATCAGCCTCATGACAGCAGTCATTGTGGTTTCTGGGACAGTGGTTCAGTGAACTGTTATAAATATTTCTCATTTTAAAATTCAGTACCAAAATTAAAAAATAGAAAGGAGATAGCTCCGGAGATGATTTTTAAATTGTCATGTGTATCTTAAGCAGTTTTAAAAAGTATTGTTCAGACGTTGAGTGTAAGTAATGAAGGGATATATTCATTGCTAAAAGATGTGTGAAGATAAAGTCACTGAAGACATATATCACAAGTTTGTCAACATTACAAATATTCTTTCTAAAAGTATTTTTCTTGCCACAGACAAAGGTGCTGTTGAGAAAGGCAAACCAATTTGGGAGCATATTTATCAAATATGATTAACTGTGGACTTACGAAGAGTTTTTTAGATAATTCGGATTAAGCAAAAAAGCAATGTAAAATATACATTGATTTGACTATAAGCAAGCTTTCCTAGAAAGCAGGGGCAGGTTTAGGTTGGTGTGAGTAGAGCAATGTTCAGTTGTAAAGCATTTTGTGCTCTGCATTATATACTCCCTGACATTGTGCTTTAGAAGTTGTGGTTTTTGACAAGGTAGTGCTTTAAATACGTTTTGAAGGGGTGAGTGAAACATCCAACAAGTCTTTTGTATGGCATTACTTGTATGGCAGGTCTTACTGTATTGGCATGAGAAATATTCTGTCTGCAAATAATTTTCTGACCTAGACATGCCCTTAGTCTGCTATGAGGCTGAACAGCTGAAGCATGTTGGCATTGCTGGAAGAGCAGATTGTTGAAGCTGATAATGATAAACAAGAAAAAAAATTCAAGTTTTATTGGAAATACAGAATGGAAATGAATGATAGGAAAAAAATAGAATGGTGTACATTCAGCTTGATATTAATACTGGTCACACAAATAGAAGGCAGAAAATCCTGCATACTGAAGCCCTTCTCACTTAATGTTTTGATGGGTTAACTTGCTATGAATGGGGAAAGTAAACTAAAACATAACAGATAATTTATTGCCTGCATGAGGCATTCAGAAGGTACCAGTTGTCTACTTTGGTTTGCTCACAAAATATTAGGAGCATTAATTAGTGTTACTGTTGGTATTTAGTACTTTTTCAAAAATATATACAACATTTTAATGCAAAATTAATAATGTGTTAGTGATAGGTCCTAGAATGTTTACGTGTGTATATATTACATAAATGTGCATATGTTTGTATTCACATATAACTGTTTTCATAGGAAGAGTTTTGGTGATATTTACTGATCATACCAATACTGGAAAGAGCCTTATTTAGTATTATTTAGTAATAAAGATTTGTGATGACAATAAGATCAGAGGCTACTGCTTATGTAACGCTGTTACACATACACTTCTAGCTGTCTTTTCGCCGTTTTAGCCATTTATCAAAAGAGGGATGAGAGAATTGGTGGCTTTTATTTTTTCCTAGTATAAATTTGGCTTGAATTTGGAATGTATTTTTATATGCGCTGGGGTTATTTTTTACCTTTTGCTAAAAACCTGGAAACATCAAAGTTTTATGACTTGCGTAGAAAAATGAAAACCAAGTATTATTCTCACTGTCAGACGGTTTTGTTCTCAGTTGTATTAAGACAATGGAATTTCTCTCTTGTTATACCAAATAACTTAAAATGGAAAATATTTGGGATGGCTATGTCTTTCTTGGGTTGGATTCAGGGCAAAAATATTTTTGTCCTGCATTTCATAATTGCATCCTCTTTCCAGAAAGATGAGCCCACAGTTGATGCTTGACATAATCACTTAAAAAGTGACTAAAAGTCACTTAGATCTCAACACTCTTAGTGGCAGAGCATCAGTATGTTCAGAATTAAGTATGTACTTAATTCCCCATAGCACAAGCACTGACAAATCAAGGCTTAGCTAAATAAGATAAACAAAACTAATACAAAATATCTTGTAAAATCAGTATTCTAGATGTAGTGATACATCATCATGCATTCGATGCTTAACTATTTCTACAAATTAGGAATCTATACTAGCTTCAAAATTAGTATGAAGTTGATCTGGTAATAGTAACTAGCGCCCTTTTGGCATTCATTATTCTGAAGAGTTTATGCCTGCGGGTAGATATTTGAGGGGAGAAACTGACAATGAAATGTCAGAAATGTATAGTTGTGTAATTGAAAACGTTGCATCCTGTATCAATTTTGTCTAGTTTTAGGTGAACTGACTGTTGAGGCCTGCACACATCAGTTTGTGTTTTTAATACACTGCATGGTTTAAAGTACTTCGGTCCAATGATGCTGGTTTAATTTGCTTGAAGTTAACACTATTTTTTAGATTAATGATAGAATCAACTTTTCATTTTAATTTAAAGATCTGATTTGATTTTTCTCTGATGAGTGAAAGTATTGTTGTATAAGGGTACTTCTGTTTCTTTGCATCGACATCTAGCTGAAGTCTTACTTATTTACAGGTAAAAATGTTAATTCAGCATTGCTGTTAATTATATTGTCACATTTCCTTGTCAAGAAAAAGCAGTGGAACAAGGCTCAGTCTACATCATCTGTTAGTAACAAAGATACTTGGAGTCATACATACTATGCTGTACTTCGACCATCATATTAAAATGGGAAGCTGATGTTGCAAAAATGACTCTCATGAGTACAGCTGAGCAAAATTTATATATTTCAATTAAAAATACCTTGTGTAAAAATAAAACACATATAAAATATATATATACACACACACTCTCTTAGATTACTTTGAAAGCAAAATAGTAGAAGGAGACTTAAGACATCTTTGAAAAGTTTCACTTGCTATGTTGCTTGGTACACTAAGCCTAAATAGGAATTATTCTCATTTTCCACAAACCAAGTTTTTAAAGAAGCTTTAATGCAGTTAAGCTTTGAGACTTTCTATCTCTATACATAACTTTTTTTGGTATGCAACTTAATCCAATACACTTTTGATGGTCAACTGAAAAAGTTTCAGATTAGAAAAGTGGGATTGGAATTACGATGTGTTTTTCCTCTGTAGCTTGCTCAAAGAATGTTTTGCATCTATTTGAAAGTAAAACGTAGTGATTGTTGTGGGTACTGGTAAAGAATGTGAACAAGCAGTTACTTGTGTGATTTTACCCACACATAAAGAATATGTGGTGAAATAAAAGTTGAGAAGATATGTGTGTGCATATATGTATTTTTACACTTTCATTAACAGGAAAGATTCTGAAAGCATGGGTGACATTGTAACTACTAAATAAAGTGGCTGTTTTGAAATAGTTATTTTGGAGGAGAACCACATTTCAACATAGTAAAAGGTTCTGTGTATGCAGGGAAAACGGCATTAGTAAGGGAGAGGATATAAACGTGTAAACAGAGGAAAAAGAATCATCTTCTGTTACCATATTTAAGTTTTGGCATGTATAATTACGTAAGTAGTGGCTAGTAGTATGTTCCAACAGGCAGTGTTCTCAAGCAGGAAAAAGCATTAACATGCTTTGCCAAGAGGATCGGATTGCCTTCCATCCTTATCTCATCCATATGTGTGCGGATGTAACGCGTGTTATTAGATTTGCAGAATGTGTCATCGGTGATTGTAGTAATATTGTTGTACTGCAAAACAAAACAATTTTTTATAAATACATACACACATATATATATACACACACCCGTATATGTTGAAGACTTTTCAAATTTTAATTTTATTCCTCTTTCCCTCCTTTTTTATTGTCATTGGCATTGATTTGTGTATACTATAGATAGGTAGGAATTGTCTCTTCAAGCCAATCAATGAGCTGATAAGCAGTTTGAGGTGGTTATTGATGTTTGAAATGTATTACTGATAAAAGATCATTGCTTATTTTTACCATTTCATATCCTTGATATACAGAAACTAATGAGAAATTGTTGCACGGTAATTAGCTAACAACTTCTGAACACCGAATGGGTGTGGCTGTACAGATTAGAGGTAAATTGTTTTATTTGGAGGAGCAGTAGACAACAGTAGCGCAACTGCAGTGTGAACTGTTTTAAAAGACAGTGGGTTGGTTTTGAAGTATGTAACTAATGAGGCTATTTGTAATAGAATGTTAAGGAAATACTTCAAAAATACCTGAAGGTGAAGAATACGCAGACTTTCTGGTAAGTTAAGGGGAACAGATTCCAGTGCGTTATGTCCTAAGTAGAGGTAGGCCAGATTTGTCAGCTTCTAATAGAAAGAAAGAGAGATTATTAATGCTGATACTACTTACCTGAGGTTAAGTAACTTGTGCCTGTTACGAGACATCAGTATGTTCTTCTTATCACATAGCCTGTAAAGTGATCTGACAGGAAACATTCTTTTGCTGTGAATGTTGAATTCTGTTGTATCAAGAAACTCACAGAACAGGCCTATGTTTTTGGAAATTTCAGTGTCAGGTTATTGGTTATAAAACTTGAGACCACTATAAAGCGCTCTCCTTGTTTATTAGTATTTATGTGGTCCTCAGAACAGTGTTTGAGCTATCAATTTTTGAATCAAGTTTTTCTTTGCATGTAAGAGAAAGGAAGTAGGTAAGATATTTCATAGAAATTTTTTTTTATGTGAACAACATGAGAGAGTGCACAAAGGAGTATTATTCCAAAGTGCCTTAAAAACAAAACAAAAGCTGGAAAGCTTCTTCATCTTAGTTTTGTTTCTTAGATGATAAAAATACAGAAAAATTCATTTTGTGATATACTGGATAGTCTGGTTACTAATTTTATTTGCTTTGGTTACCTAAATTATTGTTTCTTACTTACCTTGAAGGCATTTGCTTTGATTCCTCTGCTCTTGATTCTGTTTTGGTTTGCATTAAATGTTGTTAGTTTGGGAGGTAGAACAGGAAGTTTTATAAGTCGATTTTCAGCAAGAGAAAGTTCTTCCAATAACAGAAGCTTTGAAAAGGCTCCATCTTCTATTTCTTCTATCCTGTTTCCACTAAAATCAATTCTTCTCAAGGTAGCTTTACACAAAAGAAATGAAAATCTAAACATTAAATTTATAATTACATGGCATGTGAAACATATATAATAATAAGGAAAATACTTTGGATCCTTCCTTTTTTCTTAGAGACAACATGATTTCAGGTATTCGTAGAATTTTTCATGTTGTAGAGTGAGATATCTGGGACAGATGTCCCTGAGCATTTGAAGGAAAAATAATACCTGGTTCTTTAAGACTGGCTGGGATGCAGAGTTAAATTTTATTTTTAGCAAACTGCTCTTTCTCTGATTGTGTGGGAATATTAAGATGGATACATGAGCCAAAATGGGTTTCCATGTTGCCTTCACAGTTCCTGTTCTAATACAAGCATTGAATTAAATAAGTAATACACATAATGAAATCTAGCAAAGTATAAAATATATCTTATTTTGGTAATCTTGGCATACTTTTAAGGGACAACAACTTCAAATATACTATCAGGCGAATGGAAATTAAAATTGGAACATTACTTACTAATGTCAGCAAAATCTGAGACTGCTATCCTTTTTATTTTGTTAAATCGTGCATAAAGATATGCTGTTTCCTTTGGCAGTGGGGGTACAGCTTCGATGTCTATTTCCTCACAGTACACTGATCCGCTTAAACACACACAGAGCAGACAAGTAGGTAAATCTGAAAGCAAATTATTTTGAGTGGACAGTTAAGTTATTCAACTAAAGCTTGAATATTCAAAATAGAATTTTCTCTAGTAAGATTTCTTATCATTAGATTTTTAAATATTTTGTTCGCATCAAGTTCTGAAAAAATATTATGAACTTTTTTGAGCTTTGTATTCTTTTTATTGTGCATAATTTCTCTGTGTATATTCTCTGTTCTTATCTGAGCATGTCTTGAAATGGTATTAACCAATCTTAATTCAGTTTCATTCTTTAATTGGCTTAGAGTATTGCGAATAAGATAACTGCAACTCTGTGGCTATGTTAAATGTTATCTTTAGAACCATTCTTTCGAAAAGAGAAGTCCATGCAGGCGAAACATCTGGCAGTGCGCACATTTGACACTGTAATTGCATTGGAGCATTTCTGGCAGGGTCATGTATACTCTGTGTTACTCCTAGCTACTATTTTTGTCTAATCCTTTTTATAAAAAACTCCAGCAGTGATGATGATACAATTACTCTAGGCAATCTGTTCCCATTTTTTTACTGAGGTTTTTTATAGCTGTTGTTTTAAGTAGTGAGAGAAACTCTTATCTTTTTTTAATGCAGTTAGTCCATTATGGTTTGTCATGTTCCTCATAGACATTAGTAGAGTATTAGTCATTTCTGCTTTGCATTAATCCTGTATGACAGCAATATTAAAATACATATAATGAATATGGCTTTCACTCCAGTTTCGTCACCACTGCTATCTGATCTAATGTGTTTTCTATATTGTGAGATTTTTGGTTACCTTCCAAATTGGTCTGTCTGTAGTACAGAGAGTAGTGTCATACTGCTAGGTAGTTGTTACCACTACGTAGCAAAATAGGATCTTCCACAACCAGTGAAGAGTTATAGAAGTAGCCAGTCAATACTGGGAAGCCAACTCGGTATGTGTAATAGGGTAATTCTTTCTTTCTTTATTTTTTTTCCTTACAAAAGTACTGCAGAGAATGGGCTTGAGACTTTGAGCTTTAGCTTTGTGAATACTAATATTTGTTAGGCGTCAGAGTTCTGCCCCATTTGCCTTTTTTGATTTAATGTATTATTTGTCATATGCTAGAGTGTAGGAAATGGAAAATGATTGTGAAACAATGTTGTCACTATTTAAAAGGCAACAGTTTTTATGCTTATCTGTGACTAGAAGCGCTGGTGTTCTTACAGATTTGTTCCGATTTTGATGGGGGCTTGTTGACATATGCTATTTGGCAATAACGAACTTTGATTAAAACTTTGGTGGAGATAGATACGCCAGTGGTCTTGCTGAATCATCAGTTATTTTTGGAAGTTTAGGCCACAGATACACCCAAAATGTGTATTGTTTTTTCAGTGCTCTGTTTGGCAGACACATTGTTCCTTTCACATTTAGAAGTCACTGTGGCTGGTTAGGAGAAATCTGGACAATACACCTCAGAACCTGTAGGAAACTTAGGCTAGTGAAGAATGTTCCTGATGTATTTTAACCATTGACCTCCTTGTTCATCAGAGGTAAACTGTAAGAATAACTGGTTCTTCAAAGAAATCTATTTAAGTAATTTAAGCACATTATATTTCATCATTACTTGGTCAACCTGTGGAACTTATTGGGGTACGTATTTTGTTTTTCTTGGTTGTCTTGCCTAACTTATTTAACTTGGGTACATCTCTACAGCAAATATGACTGGTTTAGTCTGTAGAGATTCTTATAAGGTGTGCTTTGTGTATTCAGAGTTTACCTGAGGATCCTTTTAATTTTTTTCTGCCTGCTCCATCAGAAGTTAGATGACTTTCCACAGGAGATATGAAAGATATTCATAAATGAAAAGATTAACTCTATATCCCTTGTCATCCTTTGTATATTAAATTTTCATATTAAAATATGTTCTGTTGGAGAGCTTAAATGTTCCAGTATTCACATCAATTAACTTACTTGTATCCTTTGTTGGTGGTACATCGCGTTCGCTGTCATCCCCTTGCAGTCTTAGGGACGTGTCAAGAGAAACATTTGTTCCATCCTTTGTGTTGAGAGCAAATGTTTTTTTAAAAAACAAAGAGCAAACAAAAAAACAGAGTATTACAAGGATCTGAAATAGCAGGTCTTCTAAAAATAAGCTTCCTATGACAAACCTCATTATGACATTTAATTTTTAAAATACTTTTATACACTGGATGTCTGATGTGATATGTTATCCCTTTTGTAGATGACCTCTTCACTTTGAAAGGCAAGAAGGGAAGGCGTGCTGCTAGTGTTATTTAGAAAAGTAAAGTTCTTTCAGAAAGAACAGTAGACACAAAATAAAAATAGAGAGAAAATGTAGGCTACATGGTGGGGAAGGAATATGTGAGCAATGGGTGTCTACAAAAACCTGGAGTTCTGAAGGTAGATTTTGCACATCATGCAAAATTTGATAGGATTCTTGTGAATCTAAGTTGTTTTTTTTTTTTTGTTTACCCAAATAATCTCAGTAAAATAACATTTCCTTGCATTTAAACTTATTCAGAATTCCCTGTTGAGATAGTCATTGCATCTTTTCAATTGCAGGACAACTTAGTTTATAAACATGTTCCTTTCAAGTATTGACTGAAATTTAGCAATTCATTTCCATTAACTGCACTCAAGTCTGTTTTAACACCTGGGCTGCTAACAGAAAGGGCCTTTTGTGATGCAGGAAATGGTAGTGAGGTTTTCATTGAATATCATAGGAATTTGAGAGAATTACATACTATATCCAGAATTATAGTATACATGCTACGTATACTAGTGGGTTATACTGTGATTTCCATGTCTTAAAGTTAAGGGGATTTTTAGGTTGACTGTGGCAATTGTGCTTGGCTAGCATCATTTGTTGTCTTTTTTTGATGGGGGAATAGTTGTAGGACAATATGCTTTTTGGACTGCATTGCTATTGAAAACACATGGGGAAAAGTACATTATTGGGTGTGGAAGATGTTTTTCTTTAAATGTGCTTAAGGATCAGGCCCTGGCAGGAGTACAGTCCCCTGTTGAAGCGAGTTGCTTACGCACTGCAAGTGCTCACAAGTGAACTGATTTTTCTTTTTTTTTTTTTTTTTCCCCTTTAAATTCTTTCCCACTCGTCCCCATTCAGGCCTACAGCACACGCTTCATCTACTAGAGCAATATCAAAGTAACACTATCTGTCAAGTTACTTCTGATACTAACTTTGGTTTTGTATTTAGTATTTGGCTGCTTGCGTATATTTTACTGTGGGGAATTCTTGTATTCTGCAAAATAAAACCCTCAAGCTTGACATAAAGCCTGAGAAACAAACATCTTGGCCAGCCTCTGTCATTTTGACCACTTTTCAACCTGTGAATCATCAATCTCTTGGCTCTTCCCTGCATCTGTCTATCCAGGCTATAGCTCTTTTTTTGTCTGTTGTTTTCGTGTAAAGTTTGGGATAGGTTGGTTTGTTCTAGTAATGCTTTTATACCCAAGTTAGAATGCTGGCAACAGTTTAGCAATTGTAGCATGCAACTTCTGTGTAGGGTAAGAGCTTTTGCAGTGTTGGGTGTACAGATGCTGGGGGGTGTGAGCTGAACAGTTAGACTCAAACAAGCAGCAAATCTTACTAAAGGTTTCTGCAAAAACGTTTAGCTTGCGTAGATATGTTGATTAGGCATGTGATGGCATGGTCCTTGACTGAGGTATCCATGCCAGTAGAGATTTTTGTGTAGATGGACTTAGAATAAAACAACTTCACTTCTATTGTTGTAGTGTGTTTGGCTCATAAGGGACATTTTTGATATGCTGGTATGAAAAATATGTTTGCTGACATAGCATATCTGTACCAGGTGTAGATTTCTAGTACAGTATCCTACTGGAGGTGTGAACTATGAAAGAGTATGCGAGTTCTTTACAGAATACAGTGTAAAACTAATCTCTGCAAGTGTGAAATGTCAACAAACCCCCCCCCCCGATTATTTGCAGAATACTGTTAAATCCACAAAATTAAACAGCAGATTCTGTTCTACAAACACTCCACAAATAACTGGAATGCCCCCCCCCCCCCCCCCAAAAAAAAAAAAAAGCAATAGTATTAATAACCAATATATTGGAAGTATTTCCTGGTCAGCTATAAAAATTCCTAGCCATGGAATATCAGTGCAGAAGATTGTTTGGATTATAACCGCAGAAAGTTCATTACTTGCATATGTAGGGAATGCACTGAAGGAACATTGGCCTACTTACATATTTAAATGTCACCTGCCTTTTGCACTTCACTCCACAGACATGAATTACCCATAGAAAACCACATTAACATTCATCTTTATAACACACAAAGGTCTATAAAGCTGATAGTTTATATTCAATGTAATGAATTAGTCCAGATACGACACGGTGTCTAATTGAATGGTTCTGTCCTGTTGTGGAAATTAAGATTTCATGTTTTTAAGCTTCTAATATTTTTATTCAAGACTGGGGTAGCTGTGGCTTCAAATAATAATCATTGTAATAAGTTTTGCTTGGCTGACCTTTACCTTAGTAGTAGACTAAGGTTCACTTCGTTTTGTTGATTGCTAAGATGAATAGATTTCTTCTGATATTTTCACTAAAATTCCTTTTTCTGTGTGATCAAGCACACAGTAAGGAGTTAAATTTGTCATGCAAGATAGATTTCTGACTGGGCATGTTTGAGGAAATTGTTGGCATGTATTTCAGTTACAGTTAACACTTGAAATATTCTGGGAGCTAGAATTTGTGCAATAAATGAATAGATTTGTTTGCACATCCCATGATTTAAATTGGGAACACTGGAACTTGTATATATGCATTTGTTGCACATAAGGAACTGATTTATTATTTTGCAATGAAAATGTGTAATTGGAGAACGGACCTGATGGAAATAATGACCAACTGCATTCCTAGAATTATCCTAAGCAGAGCTGTTGGCCTTCAGAAGACCTCTAGTTTATAGCACTGCCAGTACGGACTTTGATTAGTCTGTGGCACATCTGTTGGCACCATTTCCTTGTAGGTATACTCCTTGTTGTTCTTTTTACTGAAAGAAAAGTGTATTCTTATTAGAACGATTTTATTAATGAATGTTACCTGATGCTGTGCCTAACTAGTTAAAGTTAACGTTTTTAGTATTTTTTAAAAACTTACTCAGTTGTGAGTGGATAGCCATGTATTAGTTAAAAGTCATTTAAATGGTCTGTTTTTCATAGGTTTATGAAACATGTTACTTCATCACTGTGGCAGATGTCAGATTTAAAAATACCTTAGACATTTTTTAATATAAGTATGTAGCTGCTGTTTTTAGTCTAACAATGGAAAGCTATAAGCAATTTAAATAGTATTGGGAAAATATTAAAATGGTATATAGAAGCGATTTTTCTATATCTGTGCTGCATTTTTTTTACTTATATGGATTATCTTTTGCTGTTGTCTTTTTTGTTGTTTATCAGACTAAGTTATTGTAACAAGTACAGTTAATATTAATGGAAACTTCCTTGAATTTATTAATGCTTGGTTTTACAGCTTTGTTGGATATGTGGTATTTTCCTTGGCAGCTAGTCTTGGGGCAATCATTGTTAGTTTCTCTTCCATCTGCCTGATCAATGTTGTATCTCATTTTCTTCATGTGTATTGTTTAGGTCCTGTCAGAGGCAGTTTGAACAGAAGTATGAGGTTTTTAACTGTACCTGACAGCTGAGGCTGCTGCACTTCATTTAACTCTCCTCTGTTTTTGTGTCTTTTGCTTAAGTGTTTAAATTAAAAGGCATGTGTGTGGAGCACATAGCAAAAAAGTTCAGAATTGACCGTTTGGGGGTGCTGGTGAGTGCCATGAGGTACAGTCTTCATTGCTACCTTTAAGACTCTCAAAGTGTTAATAATGTAGGTGACTACCCCAGGACTGGACCTTCCATAGTAGTTCAGGACTGCTGAACTGTTGAGTTGCAAAAAACCCAAACAACCCACCCCCGAAAAACCAAGGCAAAAAACTTGATAGTTTGGTAAGTCAAAAGAGAAACCGTGGTTTATGCTGGCAGATTATGTCCAATAAAAAGTACTGTTTCAAGTATTACTTTGATATAAAAAAAAAATCCCTAAATAAAATCACCCTTCTTGTTTTTAAACACATTTACTGTGATAATACAGTGTTACTTAAACTGTTGAGCTAGTATGCTAGTACATCCCATTCTTGAAGGTCGTACAACGGTAGGCACATAACTACAGCAGAGTTAAAAATGATGCTTTAGTCTTATGTATGAAAGCCTGTCTTTTGTGGGTTTCTCAAACTGTAGCAAGGGTAGTATTTTTGTGGTTTTAATTTGTGGCTTTCCCTCTGTCTTAAACCATTGTATGTTTTGCTATTATTATTAGACTTTTCCAGAAAAATTGCATACATGCATGTAACACCTTATTCATATAATGCTTAGCAGTTAAAAATATTAAACTGATAATATAAATAAAATACCTTTCTTATATCCTTGGATTGCATTTCATAATCTTGTTGGATCAGGCTTCCCATGGTAACATCTGTATCATACTCATAAAACTGGAGTGATTCTTGCTGTATAGGTGGTGCTGAATTTACCAAAGGTACAAACACAAACAAGAAAAAAGTAGTCTGCAAAGTCTTCATTCTTGCACAGAACAATGTATCTGGCTTTCACTGAGCCGGTGGAGATCTGCTCGTGTGTTGACTATGGAGAATACTTTCTTTGTGACTGGAAATGAAAATGCAATCCGTCAAAACAATATTTAAAGCCTAGAGGACTAGTTGGCAGGGGTTTCTAACGCATAAGGAACATGGAACAAATTTTAACTCTTGATATCCTTTAATTAGACTCTAGCATTATAAAAACTGTTCTTAAAGTGAGAAGAAACTGGGAAATAATAAACAACATTTTCCAACTAATAAGGAAAATATTATCTTAATTGCATTTGCTTGTTTCCTAGTGAGTTATTTTTGTTAATAGCAAGAGGATTTTTTTAAAAGCATTTTATGAAACATTTGGCATGTATGTAGCTGAACTAATTAAAACAAGAGATGTTCAAATGCATTTTTTTTGGTTGTCAAAATAATGGTTTTCAAACCTAAATGCTCTGTAACAATAATCTCTCATTGTCTTTGTCTTTACATTTGAAAATAAACAAGAGAAGATAACTTAACACCCCCTGAATTTTTACAGGTTGTACACTTTTCGGGCAGGGGGAGGAGGCTACAAACATAATCTTTAAAACATTTTGAATAGACACACAATAATTTTAAAATAGATCTTTACACAGCATTTTTTTTCTGTTTACTGTAATTGCATTTTATTTAAGCTTCAGGTTAATATACTTTTAGGAAAGAAGTCCACTTACCGTTTTAGCAGAGTCAAAGTTCTTCTGTGATTGTCATAAAACCAGATATCCTTATGTACATGTTAACCTAAAGTGGATTAATAAAAGAGTAAATTTATGAATTACATCCAAAATGCTGAAATTAATACTCTTTCAAAGTTTGACAGTCTTAAAAGTGCTTTCCATGGGGTAAAAAATGCTTTGCCAGCAT